AAAAAAAAAAAAAAAAAAAAAAATGAAGGCTGAGAAAAATTAGATGACTTAGTATTTATTTTTTCTTGCATACATTAGTTGCACAGGGTGGAGGTGTTCACTGAGACTCAGCTAACATTATGAAGTATACATTACCTCATAATTAGTATCTTTTTTTCCCCAGTATCTGCTGGGGATCAGACCTAGGACCCCATAAAGGCTACTGACACTCTAGTACTAAGCCTCATAATCTGCTGTCTTATTTCTGCATTCACTATTTTATTTTATTGTATTTATTGTATTGTATCGTATCGTTTTATACAGTACCAGGGCTTGAACTCAGGGCCTACACCACCTTTAGCCACTTCACCAGCCCTTTTTATGTTAGGTATTTTTGAGAGAGGGTCTCACCAACTACTGCTGGAGCTGGCTTCGAACCATGATCCTCCTGATCTCTGCCTCCTGAGTAGCTAGGATTACAGGTGGGAGCCAGCACCCAGCTAATAAGAATTTTATAACGTCCGTGTGTTTATTTTATACTAAAAAATGGGGGGAAATCTTACTTTGAAAGGAATATATTATTTGTACCAAAAAGAGAACTCAATTGGCTTACAATGAAATCCTTCTGCTAACAGCATATTAAAAAGTGCCTATGTAATTTAGGAAAGAAGATAACTTACTGTTCACCTTCAGCAGGTGGAGTCCAGGCCTCTTCAATCAGCCGAAAGACAGAATCGAAGTAAGTCAGATAGAACTGCCAGTCATCTGAGCTGAAATCAGATTGAATGATGCACACACAGGATTAATCCCAAATTGTGACAAATCTGCCTGAGGAACCACAATGACTTCTCTTTTTAAGTAACATTTCCATGGGCACAAGCAGTGGCCCGCCCCTTCTTCTGCAGCCCTAAAAGGGCACCACTCCTGAGGCATTGTCAAAGAATTCTGAGACACTACTCTTTCCATCAATAAAATAACCAGGTTAAGCTTTTCCAAAATAGGAGGTGGTGTACACTTAAGAACGAAGCCATCTCTCTTTCGACCAGTATTGAATATGATAAATGAACTGAGCACTCATTCTGAAGACCTAACCTACACAACACGGTGGGCTAAGAATCATTATACCTCCTTACCAAAAGATGATGGCTCATTAAAAACTTTAAAAACACGAGGGGCTGGAGGGTGGCTCACAATGTACAGCGCTTGCCTAGCAAGGGCAAGACCTAGTTCAAACCCCAGTATTACAAAAACAACAACAAAAAAACCCATAAAAATTGTTGATCATGAGGCGTGATGACAAGCTCAAAGCACGAAAAGCAGCCTACTCACTTTTTCAGCAACAGTCTCCGGGAAAGAGCGTTGCACTCTGGCCACCTGCTCAGTTTCTTGTACATAGCCATGCATTTATTTTCCCGGCTCTGAAGCTCACTTGTCAACTTCTCTATAATTAAAAGTTATAGATGCTGATAAGCTGATTTCATTTCTACCCCAAACCAGAAAAGAATCAAATAACAGGAAGGAAAATGTCTCATTTCTTTATTCATTCTCTTGAAAATGAGGCCACTCTTTCCAGATACAAACTACTATCTTGATTATTTTGTTTAAGAGAACAAAGTAAATGTCTGATAATAAATTTTATAATCACTTTCTCAGTAAAATACAAAGATTCAAAATGTATTATTGGGTTGAGTATTTGGGAAACACTTATAACTCCAAGAGCATCCAAGGACTAGTAAATTTACCCCATTCATATAGTTCTAATAGACTGAAGTGGGGGAGCCGCACTGGGTAAGCACAGTGAGATTTCAGGTGGAAGATAAATCAGAGATGAAATCAAACTTGTTTCAAACAGTTTAGAATAGCTTAGCAGGTTAAGAATATTAATATCTGCATTATCAATTTCCTATAGAGAATGTAAATTTTAATTATCCAATTACAGGCTAGCTGAGTAAGCCAGAATGCTAGAATTGTACCCATCTGCAAGGAGACTAGAGTAAAAGAATAAATTACATTAAAAAACAAAAACAGGCTGGATGCTGGTGGCTTGTATCTGTAATCCTAGCTAATTGAAAGGCTGAGATTGCAAGGATCATAGTTCGAGGCCAGCCCAGGAGACCACATCTCCAAAATAACCAGAGCAGAATGGACTGAATGGAGGTGTGGCTCAAGCAGTAGTACCTGCTTTACAAGCTTAAAGCCTTGAGTTCAAATCCCAGTTCCACATTTAAGGGGAAAAAAAAAAGCTGGGTGTGGTGATACACACCTGTAATCCCAGCACTTGGGAGACAAAAGCAGGATTGTTTTTGAGTTACATAGCAAGGCCCTGTCTCAAAAAAAAGAAAAACAGGTGTGATGGCACATAACTATAATGCCTACACTCAAGTGGGAAAGGCAGCAGGATCCCAAATTTGAGGCCAGCATGAGCTAAATAGGGAGACCCTGTCTCAAAACTCAAAAGAAGCTGGGTGTAGGCCAGGTGTAGTGACTCATATCTGTAATCCCAGCTTCCTGGGAGGCGGAGATGATGAGAATCACCGTGGAAGGCTACCCACGGTAAAGAGTTACAAGATCATGTCTCAACTAGTAAGTTGGGCATGGTGACACGCGCCTGTTATCTCAGCCACTCAGGAAGCAAAGATAGGAGGTGTAGGTCCAGGCCAGTCCAGCAAAAACACGTGGCATCTTCCCCAAAATAACTAAAGCAAAAAGGGGCGTGGCAGGGGGCTCGAGTGGTAGAGCGCTTGCCTAGCAAGTGTGAGGCCCTCAGTTCAGATCCCAGTATCGAAATAAGTAAATAAATAAGAAAGGAAAGTTCCAGGCTAGCCTGGGTTACATAGCAAGACCACATCTCCAAAATAACCAAACCAAAAATAAACAAACAAACAAGTTAATTAATTTTTTAAAAGAAGGACAAGGGGAAGACAGATCTTGGTAAGGACCTGAAGAGCAAGAAACTGCAGGAGAACCTGGGCAGGGTGTTAGAGATCTGGAACACACTCTTTCACACTCCTTCAATTTTCTGAACCCATGAATTATTTTCAATTAAAACACAGCTTAAAAATAAATTTACAGCATATAGAAGAATATAGCAAAGTGATTAATCACAAATGATTTTTATCTTTGTATTTCTCTACATGGAAGTATGTTTCCACATTAAACACTTTTCACGTTTAAATAGAAAAACCAACTTGCAGAAAACTTTAAAAATTACCTCCTAATTTCCCTCTAATGACATCCAAGGCTTCCTGGTACTTTCCCAGTCGTTCCAGGATCATGTAATAAAGTTCAACCTTACAAAAGAAACAGATAAGTGCAACCATTGAAACTTTGCAATCAAAAGAAGATAGTCACTTGCATTTTTTTTTAAGTTATCATAGAACAATGTCTTCAAATGACATGAAGCCAATAGCAAGAGTCAGATGACAGTGGTTTCCCAGCTGTGCACACCTAGCTTAGGGCACTCGTTCAGCATGACAATGAACCCAAGCAGAAGGCTGCCAAAGCTGCATCTCTACAAGGGCCAGAGCTAGGGGCTCATCCCAGTGCTGTATCGCTTCCCTGACCTGCAGAAGGCACTGGGTTTGATCCCCACACCAGGAGTGCACGCATACAAGGGCCAAGATCCAGGAAGCAGGCATGAACTAGAGTAATAGAACATTACAGCACTGTAATGTAATATTGTGACACTATCAAAATCATGAAAACACAAAAGTATGCCTTCAATTACTTACTTCAGCCTCAGCTTCTATCTTGTCTTCTTTCACCATCTTTTCTACCATTCTCTCAGCAAGGGGCAGAAACATTGTTTTTGATAGGTTTTCATCCTGTGCCGATATAGACTAAAAGAAGAAAAATAAACATTTCACTAATTTGTTCCCTGCTTGCACTATTCATGCTACCATGCAGACCATCACTGTGACTCTGATACATAATTATCAGCCTACTGAGTCAAATATCAAAACTAATCAGAATTTGCCAAGTGGAGAGATAAGAGAATAGTCTGCTTTACATAAGATTTCTTTACTAAGCTGGGCATCAGGTGCTCATGCCTATAATCCTAGCCACTCAGGAGCTACAGATCAAGAGGACTGAGGTTAAAAGCCAGCCCCAGCAGGTAGTTCTGAGACCCTACTTCAAAAAAGCCTTCTTTAACAAAAAAAGGGCTGGTGGAGTGATCCCAGTGCCACAAAATAAATAAATAAATAAAATTTCTTTACTAAAGACTCATCATCCTACGCATTTTGAAATATTAATCTTCTACAATATGGCATAATGTTCAAATAGGTTTTTCATACACTCCTCTAGAAATATGTCTGTTTATTATACATCCATGGTATCCGTGTGAAGAAGGAAGCCTTTCAGATAAATTTTTGAGATATTAACATATTTAAAAGAAGGGATATGCCAATTTCTTATTCATATAGTTTGCTACTAGCTACATTTATCTTAGATACTTTTAAATTATCAGAGCTAACTTGCCCCTTGCAAACATCCTTTCAGGGTAGATATTATAGTTATTTTATAGTGAAAGAATCTAAGACTAAGAGATTCCCCCAAAAGCTCTACAAAACATATGGGAAAGCCACATGTATTTAAGGCAGACCTGTCTGACCCCAAAATGTCTACTTTTAATCACCACATCTTACGTCTTCCTCTCCTATGCAGAATCTCAATTTGGTCCGTACAGTAGAGGTAAGCATCTCCATTCTGCCAAAGAGCAAACTGAGGCTCAGAAAGGAAAAATGTTAAAACAAGGCTAACCAATTCAATGACTACTCACTAACCTACAATATTGCCTTAAAAACAAATCCAGATTGATAGCTTCAAGGCTGGTACTTGATCAAATAAACCAGCAATGGACCTAAGATTCAGGGAAAGTTCAGTCCATGTTGAATACAAATAAACTGACACACCAACTCAGAAAATATCAAGTTGCAAGGCACTGATAGTACACGCCTATAATCCCAGCACTCAGTAGGCAGAGGCAGCAGGATCTCCAGTTCCAGGCCAGCCTGACTCAAAAGATATCCTGTCTCAAAAGAAAAAGAAGAAGAAAAAGGAGGAGGAAGAGGAAGAGGAGGAAAGAAAAACAGAAAAAGAGAGAGAGAGAGAGAGAGAGAGAGGAAGGAAGGAAGGAAGAAAGGGGAGGGAAGGAAGAGAAGAAGAAAAAGTGGCAGCAGCAGCAATGGAGAAAGAGGAGGAAGACAACTAGCCACGTAGCATCCCTAGCTTGAAAAGTCAATTGACAATATATAAAAGGTCCATATTTGACCCCACTGCAACACATAACCCAAGATGTTCAGAAGACAATGATTTAAAGAAAACAATTTCATTCTGACTGCCAGACTCACCTGCATAATTAAGCTCATCACAGACCAAAAGTAGTAAGGATTTTTGGGGACAATCTTATACAGAGCCATGCCAGCCTGAAAGACAAAGCCATAAATACTTAATTTAGAAAACTCATGAAGAGAACAATTAACAAACCAGATATGAAGAAAACAAATAAACATAAAAACGACCTATATATTTGGCAGTAAGTTTCCCAGGAGAGCAGTAATACTTCTACATAGTGTAATACTTCTACTTAGTGTAAGTGCTGAGTGACTTGACAGCTATAAAAGAGGTACGAAAGAGTGCTGTATCTTGAGTGGTATTTCACCTTTTTGACTGTGTCTTGCTAAAGTTAAAGTCTAATATCCATAGACTACACTGTGACCTAGTGCAGTTCAAGTAAACTACCAGCAAACACAAAATTTGGCTTGTAAATACATATCAATAGCAATCATTACTAAAGACAGCACAGTAGCCAGTTATGGTAAAACAAAGAAAAGCAGACAGCAGTAAAGCCTCATGGTACACGCAGCACTCAGGACACTGAGGCAGGAGGATCAAGAGTGCACGGCCAGTCTCAGCTACATAGTGAAACTGTCTCATAGCAAAAAGCAAAAGAAAAACTGACAATATATTGAAACCTCAATATCAGAAAATATTACAATGACATAATTCAAAACATAATTCTTAGGTTAGGAAAATAATCAGGTTCTTTCAAGATAACATTAATCAGAGCTAACCTTCCCATTGGGAAATGTACAACATGCAAATACGTCAAAACAGACATGAGAAAATGGAATAAAGTAAACTTATTCAAGCAGAACTAAGAATCTGTCCATAAACAGTCAACTACTAACTTAAACTAGCTGGGGACTGGCGGTTCACACCTATAATCCCAGCTACTTGGGAGGCTGAGATCAGAAAGATCACAGCTCCAGACCAGCCCAGGCAAACAGTTCAAGAGACCCCATGTACAAAATAACCAGAGTTCCCGGGAGCTGGTAGGTCATGCCTGTAATCCTAGTGACTCAGGAGATAGGGATCAGGAGGATCACAGTTCGAAATCAGCCAGGCAAATAGTTCGTGAGACCCTATCTAAAAAATATTCAACACAAAACAGGGCTGGTAAGGTGGCTCAAGCAGAAGCAGGCCTACTTAGCAAGCCTAAGGCAGAGTTCAAACCACAGAACCTCAAAAAAAAAAAAATAGCAAAATGGACTGGAGGTGTGGCTCAAGCCTGCACCTGCTTTGCAAGCATGAAGCCCTGTATTAAGAACTTAACTATTAGGCAGGTGAAGTGGCAAAAGTGGTAAAGTGCCTGCTTAGCAAGTGTGAGGCCCTGAGTCCAACCCCTGGTACTACCAAAAAAAGAACTTAACTGTTAAATTACATCAAAGGCATGTCTCTGCAAAGAGCAGGGGGCAAAATTGTATATATACCTGGCGTAAAGCTAAGCCACACGCAAATGAAAACTAGCTCTGTGTTCAAGCAGAATGGATGTTTTTTCCTTTTGTTAAAATTTACTTGAAGTATTTACTTTACGACTGCATGGACTTGTCCTTTTTATATACATTGTGTGTATGTATGTATGCATGTGTGTATATACATGTGTATGTGTGTATATCTTTATTTCTAAACATATTGTTAGATCCTAGCATCATGTTGGTGGCATACTCTTAGAGCTCTATCCCTTACTGAGGCAAATGTCAGGGGGTGAGGGGAGTGGGGAGAGAAGGCATTTACAGTCTGCTTCTCTCATTTAGCATATGGTGGGACCATCTTCCTATGTCAACAAATAAAGATGCCCAGTATTACTAGGAGGATATGGTACTGCATACACTTTATTCTACCACAGGATGAGACATCACTTCTTTTAATGATATCCTTATAGGCAGGCATTCAATATACTTTGCTTAAAATACATCTCTACAAGTAGAAATGATATTAGGGTTGGTATGTATGTTAGGGAGTGGCTTAAGTGGTAAGAATGCTTGCCTAGCAAGTACAAAGCCCTGAGGTTCAAACCCAGTACCACCAAAAAACAAAAGATTAAAAAGGAAACTGATATGATTGTTAGTATTGCCAATTTAAAAAATACTCTCATCTTACATTTAAGAAAATTATAATCTCAGAATACTTTTTTTTAAGAATATCGTTAAATAAACTCATGATTTAAAAAAAAAATGGGGGGATATGTACAGTGCTGAGGTTTGAACTCAAAGCATCATGCTCACTAGACCAGCATTCTACTGCTTGTACCACACCTCCAACTCCTTTTTACTCTGGTTATTTTGGATATAGGGTCTCACTTTTGCCCAGGACAGCCTAGACTGCAATCCTGATATTTTATACTTGCCGCCACAGCTGGGATGACAGGCACAAGAGACCACACACAACTTTGTTCCATTTAGTTGGGGTCTCATAAACTACTTTTTACTCAGGCTGGCCTGGAACCATAATTCTCCCAACCTCAGCCTCTGCACAGCTTAGGATGTCAGGCGCACACTGCTGAGCCCAGCTATTGGCTGAGATGGAGGTCTCACGAACCTCCAAATCTCAGCCTCCCAAGTAGCTACCATTCTGGCACCTGGCTATGACAATTTTTCTAAAGAATTACATTTGACTATTTGGGAAGCAGCTATCAGAAGGATCATGATGTGAGGCCAGCCCAGGGAATCTACTCTTCCCCTCCCCCCCTCCAAAAAAACTAGCTTGACATCATAGCTGAGATTAATAGTACAGGTATTTCACTTCTCTGGAATGTCAACTGTACCACACACTACTTCAAATGTGTCCAAATGACGTTCCTTCAATTGTATAAAACAAACACCTAAAATAAGGTAAACAGTAAATAAGCTGCCTCAAGCAAGCAAAACACAAAACAAGAAAACACCCCAGACAATGGGGACATCCCCCCTGGTGGATTTAAAAATCTCAGCAGGCTATAAACAGCTAAATTTACAAATTAGATGTACCCTTTAAAGTTATTCTTCCTATATTCTGCTCATTTTTGCTCTGGATTTCTGCCCATTTACTGAAAATTTATTAGCAATCTAATGCAGCAGGACAATTTGAAAGAGCCTTACCAAATCAAACCAAACAGACCATCAAACCACAAAAGAACAATCTACGTTTCTCAAATGAGACATTTTAAAAACTTGAAAAATAAGCAAGTAGCTCATCACCACAGACAAATACAAATTTATGTAAATTCAATTCTCTTTCGAGACACACACACACACACACACACACACACACATACACACACACACACACACTACAGTCAAATCACATTAAGGAGACTTTTACCTTAGCCCAGTGGGTTTGGGGATCAAGTTACCTGCTGCATTTTCTTGTACTCGCCCACTCTGGCATAGGCCATGAAGAGGTGAGAGTGATACTCCTCACTATTGGGGACTTTCTTCACAGCTGCCTCATAAAGTTTTGTAACTAATTCCGCTATGATAAAGAGAAATGAAGATTTAATTATGCTTCATTATCAAAGCAAACCCTAATAGCACTTAATTGATTTTCCTATTTGGTGAAAACAGAGGCCTCCTACCATTAAAGAAGAAAGTAGGAGCTCTGCCTTTGGCTTATCTGGGTCAGGACTATTCTCATGGCTAGGTGTTGGTCAGATGAAGCACGGATTAAGTCAGGCATCCTCATCACATTTACAACATACAACGCCTCCCAGGACCTGGGCTCTCTACCTCCTTAAATCTCTCCCTCAGCAAGTTATTGTCTAGCCACATCAAGCCATTTAGTTCCAACAGATTCCTTGTATCACATCTGCATGATTTATACAGTTCCCTCTTCCTAATTCTCCTTTCCACTCTCATCTACTAAGTGAACATCATCCAAGACCCAGTTCAAATGAAATCTTCCCTGAATACTGTCTCTGCTTCTCCACCCCAATTTGATCACTGTCTACCTCTGCTTTCTTAGACACTCCCCCAAAAAAACCTCTATTATAGGCCAGGATGGTGGTGCACACCTGTAATCCCAGCAATCTGGGCTACATAATGAGATCATCAAAAAAAATCCACATTAATAACATTTATTAATGTATAATGCTACATACTACATAATGAGCTGCTTTATTCCCTTGTAGATTACGAGTGACAAGAGATCAGAAGGAGCACCTTTCCTCTTTGATTTTGAACAGTATGTGACACATCCAAACAATGTCTATGAATAAATGTTTTTATAAAATATTGGAGAGCTGAGTGTGTGGCTCAAAGTGTGGAGTGCATGCCTAACAATTGCAAGGCCCTGAGTTCAAACCCCAGGACAACCAAAAAAATAAACAACCCACTGAGGAGGATCCATACCCCTAAATCAAAATAACCTTCAAATAACCAGATATAATACCTTGAACCTTAAGTTTCATCTTTTATAAGAATTAAAAACTGAACTATAAAATATCATTCTCTGCCCACTATGTTGGCAACATTTTTAAAGGTTAAGAATACCAAGTATGGGTGGAGATGAGCTCACTGGCAGCTTAGCATTTGTGAGATGTGAGGCCCTGTGCTCCATTCCCAGCACCACAAAATAAAGGAAAAAGGGGCAGGGGACCAAGTGCTAACAATGATAGAACAATGAACAATCAGAACTCAGAAAAACTGCTAACATACTTAGAGAACAAGTTGACATTATCTTTAGAACAAAAACTACCCTATGACACAGTTGTACTCCTAAGTTGCGGTAGTCAACCAATGAAATATTCTCTGGCAATGAAAATGAATTAATTACACCACTTGGATATTTGATGAAAATCTAACAAACTTATTAATCAATAAATTAGATGTAAATCATACAATATATACACCCATTTATATAAAGTTCATAATTAAGCAAAACTGGGCTGAGGGGGTGGCTCAAGTGGTAGAGCGCCTGCTTTGAGGCCCTTAGTTCAAACCCCAGAACCACCAAAAAGGGCTGGGGGTGGGGGTGAGGGGCAAGGAAAGAGGCATCACCCACAGGGAAAATAAGCAAAACTATTACTACTTACAGAAACAAATGTGACAAAGATTTAAAGAAAAAAAAAGTAAGAAGGCTGGGGTGGGGTACAGTTCAGTGGTAGAGCACCTGCCTACTTACCTAGGATGCATGATGTGGGGAGCAGGGTGGAAGGGAGGGAGGAGGGACGGAGGAAAGGAAGCAAAGGGAAGGAGGGGAAAGGAAGGAAGGGGAGGGGAATGAGGGAGAGGAGAGTTGAGGAGGGAGAAAAGAACAACTCAGGATAGTAAGTACTTCTTGGGAGGTAAAAAGGAATTGTGATTGACAAGGAGCATACACAAGCATTCCTAGTATTTGTTTCTTTGTTTTTGTTTTAGTTTTTTTGGTAGTGGTAGTACTGGAGTTTGTTTTTTATTTGTTTTGCAGTACTGGGGTTTGTACTCAGGGCTTCTACCTGAGCCAGTCCACTAGCCCTTTTCTGTGATGGGTTTTTTGAGAGAGGGTCTCACAAACAATTTGCCTGGGCTGGCTTCAAACCTCAGTCCTCCTGATCTCTGTCTCCTGAGTAGCTAGGATTATAGACATCAGCCATTGTGCCCAGCATGGTACTGGGGTTTGAACCCAGGGCCTCTCTCTTCCTAGGCAGTCGCTCTATTACTTTAGCCATACCTGTAGTCCAGCATTCCTAACATCAACAATGCTCTATTTCTTAATTTGGGTGGTAGATTCATTATTATGCATCAAATTTACTAGTATATTAAATAAGATATAATCTCAGATTATATGTATTATGAAAATATAGTTTTATAATAAAATATATTTAAGAAATCAACAATGAAAACCTTTATTTAAGGTCAATTTATTTACAGATTAAATGACAGATTATTTAGAATGTACTTTGAAATAATCTGGCAGGGAGGAGAGACAAAATAAGACTGGTCACAGGTGAATAATTACCAAAAGTGAGTAATGAATGCAATGGGATTATTAGGCTACTCTACTTTCATCTGTGTTTAAAATATTCCATCTTAAAAAACGAAAACAAGGGCTCAACTGGTAAAGTGGTATAGTACTTGTCTAGCAAACTGGAGGCCTTGAGTTCAAACCCCAGTACTGCAAGAAAAAACAAGAAAAGGATTCATTCAGCAAACCAAAATGTTACTGTTGAACTCACTTTAATTCTCACTCCAATTCAAGTAACCTCATTAAGTTCATGTAAACTATCCTTTCTATAATCTACCCACTGTCATCCATATAAACCACAGGTAACATCTAAGTCAGACAAAGCAAAACAGCGAAATATGGAAAAACATATGCTCAAGTTTAGCAATGAAAACAGAGAAACATACGTCGATGCATCTCCCGGTAAAGAATGGTCAGTGCTTGCAGCGAGTTGTCATCCGTTGGCTCAAGGGCGGCCACCTCCTGTGCCAAGATGAAGGCTTCCTCATGCTTTCCAGTTCTCTGCAAACCAATTGCCTTTAGAACCTAAAAGCAAGGAAAGAAAAATCAGTTTTGTATTGCTTATTGGTACTGGGGTTTCAACTCTGGGCCTAGCACTTGCTATGCAAGTGATCTAAAACTTCAGCCACATCCCCAAAAATCAATTTTTAAAAGACAGAAAAGCTGAGGCAGTGGGATGGGGAGTTCCAGGCCAGCCCCTCAGATACATAATGAGACCCTGTCTCAAAAAAACAAAAACAGAAGAAAAAAAAAGAAGAAAGAAAAGAAAAAATACAAGCAATTCAAGATTTATTTTTCTTTTGTTTCTTCGCAGTGCTGGGCATTGAACTGTGTGCATACTAGAGAAGCACTACCTCTGCTCAGGCCAGACTTAAACTCAACATCCTATTGCCTCTGAAGAGCACTTGGGATTGCAAGCATGTACCACCACACCCAGCCCTAATAGCCAGGTGTGGTGGTACATGTCTGTAATCCCATCACTCAGGAGGAAGGCAGAAGGATTGCAAATTCAAGGCCAGCCTGGGCTAAAAGTTAAAATTCTGGCTCAAAGGAAAAAAAGACTACTTATGGCATGTAAAGTGGTAAAGAAAATAAATGGCCTAAAAAATACTATGCAAAACACAGAAATAGTTACTAAAGGGATCAAACATCCTTTCCCTATAAAGAATTACAGCCAGGCACCAGTGGCTCATGCCAGTAATCCTAGCTACTTGGAAGACTGACATCAGGAGGATCACAGTTCAAGGCCAGCCCAGGCAAAAAGTGAGACTCTATCTCAAAAATAACAGCACAAAAAAAGGGCTAGGAGTGGTTCAAGTGGTAGAGCACCTGCCTAGCAAACATGAGGTTCCCAGTTCAAACCCCAGTATAGCCAAAAAACTTACGAAAAGCAGCTGGGAGTGTGGCTCAAGTGGTAGGTTATTACAAATATAACCACAACTCTGAATAACTCTTGAGCAGATGAACTTACCTTAGCACAGTGAAGATCCTTATGTTTCTTCAGCAGTTTATCCGCTTGCTGAATTGCCATTTTGTTATTCCCATTATCAAGATAATCTATGAAAGAAATAATAGTTATTATATTTCTTCAACAACAAACATGAAATTACACAGGCTGCTTTCAAATATTTCAGAAAGCATCATAACCTTCTACTAAAAATATCAGGGAGCTAGGCGCTGGTAGCTCATGCCCATAATCCCAGCTACTCAGGAGGAAGAGATCAAGAGGATCAAGGTTTGAAGCCAGCCCAGGCAAACAGTTTGAGAGACCCTATGTGGAAAAACCACATCACAATAAAAAAGGTGGGGAGGGGCCTGGTGGAGTGGCTCAAGGTGTGGGCCAAGTTCAAACCCCAGTACCTAAAAAAAAAAAAAATCATGGTGGGGCTAGGACTGTACCTCACTGGTAGAGTGCACTTTAGGATTGAACCCTGGGTTCGATTCCCAGCTCCTGAGCACATACACAAAACCCCATCACGGAGCTGATTTTACCTTTTTGGTTTTTTGGTGGCACTGGGAATGGAACCCAGGACCTTGCACATGCTAGGCAAGTACTCTTACCACTGAGCTTCCAGCCCTAATTTGAACTCTAAATGAGCTATCATCCAAAAGCAATATAATCAGGTTATGTTAGCAATTAATGAAGATTCAAGATTAGACAGCTGATGACACATTTTTTTTCTTTTTTTTTTGCAGTACTGGGGTTTGAACTCAAGGCCTTCACCTTGAGCCATTCCACTAGCCCAATTTTTTGTGATAGGGTTTTTCAAGATAGGGTCTCGTGAACTATTTTTGATCCTCCTGATCTGCATCCTGATTAATTGGAATTACAGGAGTGAGGCACCAGCGCCTGGCATGATTTTTTTTTTTAATCTATGGAAAATTAATGGGTTTAGTCACCAAGATCTTCAAATATCTTAAAAATTAAACAGGAAAAGAACCCTTTTAACGTTCAAGCTTCTAATCTACCAGGGGGACGATGTTCCTTCAATAAAATGTATCTACTTTGCCACAAACCTACCTATACTTCACAAAAAAAGTTAGAGAAGGCTTTACTCATAAGCCTAGGGGACAGGGAAGGAAGTAGGCAAAAATAGCACTTTCAAACACTAGTTAGAACAGAAACTAGATCTCACTTTTGGTGGTACTGGGGTTTGAACTCAAGAGCCTCATGCTTGCTAGGCAGTCAACTTCTAGGTTTCCCAAAGCTATATATCCATTAAACACAATTTTACCTGATATTTTTGAAATGTGTAACATGCTTTGGTACACATATACACAGTGAAATCATACTGTTTTCATGTGGTTAGAGCACCCTACCTCTCTCAGCAGACACTTGATACACAGTACAATGTATGATCTATAGTCTTCATGCCATACATCTCATCTCTAGACTCATTCATCCTATGTAACCTCAAATTTATACTTTCTGACCTACATCTCCCCTTTTCCTGCCCCTTTCCACACCTGGTAACCACTGTTCTACTCTCTCTGTAGGTCCAACCGTGCAGGGTTTTTGTTGTAATTGTGTTTTGCGAAACTGGAGACTGAGTCCAGAGTCTCCCACATGCTAGACCACTTGAGGTCGTCCCGCACCCTTATGTAGTGTTTTCTGTTCGGCTTATTTCACTTAGCAGAAGGACTTCCTGGTTGTCACAACTGCACTATCTGCCTTTGTCTTGCGGCTCAATGATATTTCAGAGTGTTTGTGTGCGTGCACACACCACAATACTTTATCCATTCGTCCACCAACGAAAACAGGTTATTTCTATACTCTGGCTACTGTAAATAATGCTGCAATGACACGGGCGCACAGGTATCTCTGTGAGGTGCCGATAACATTTCTCTTGGTTATATACCCAGCAGAGGGATTGCTAGGTCATTTGGAGGTGCTATTTTTAATTTTTTGAGGAAGCTCCATTCGGTTTTCTGTGTAATGGTTATACCAATTTACATTCCCACCAATGGTGTACAAGCCTTCCCTTTTCTCTTCACTCTCACCAACACTTGTTTCTCCTGTCTGTTAGCAGCCATACTAGCAGATATGAGGTGATATCTCATTCTGATTCTGATTTGCATTTGCCTCACAGTCATGTTGAGCACCTTTTCATATACTGTTGGTCATTTTTATGTCCTCTTTAAATAAATATCTATTCAGGTCCTTTGACCATTTTTTGGTTCTTTTTGGTTTTGAGTTGTGCAATCCATTACAAATTTTAAGGAATATAGAGACCCACTATAAAATTATGTTGAGGGGCTGGAGGAGTGACTCAAGCTGTAGAGCACCTGCCTAGTGAGCACAAAGCCATGAGTTCAAACCCCAGTACCATCAAAAGAAAAAAAATTATGTTAAGGGCTGGTGGAGCAGCTCAAGCAGTAGAGTGCCTGACGAGCAAGCATGAGGCCTCTAGTCCAAACCACGTACTGGGGGCGGGGGAAAGTTAAAGAAAAAAGCAATCAATTATTATTCTAAAGTATATCAAAAGATTCATTTCTGTATCAGAAGATCTGGAAGAAAATGAGAAGTGTCCTAAATAGCAAACAGGATGGTAGCTGTCAATTCTAAATGCAAAAATAATGACTGAACACAAGCTAGTCCACAACCTCCTACCACTACAAGGCCCTTGTTTTCTCATTGAAGGCCCAAATCAGTTGTAGAAACACATGAGGCACAAACAACTCAAAATCACCTATGGACCAAATGCAGCAGCAGAAATGCTTGCTCACAGCTGGTGGGAAGGTAAAATGCTACAACTTTGCTAGGACACTGGTAGTTTCTTCAAAAACTAAATATACTGTTGCCATTTGATCCAGCAAACATGCTCCTTAGAATCACCCAAATGAGCTGAAACATAAAAACACGCACATGAAAATTTATAGATTTATCTGCAACTCCAAAACTTGGAAGCAACCAAGATGTCTAACAAATGAACGGATAAACAATGGCATATCCATACAACAGAATGCTACTATCAATAAAAGAAATGAGCAGCCGGGCACTGGTGGCTCACACCTGTAATCCTAGCTACTTGGGAGGTTGAGATGGGGAGCGTCACAGTTCGAGGCAAGCCTGGGCAAATAGTTCCCAAGATTCCATCTCCAAAAATAATGAGAGCAAACTGGACTGGAGGCGTGGCTCAAGCGGTAGAGTGGTGGTAGAGCAAAGCCCTGAGTTCAAACTCTAGTCTCAACCAAAAAAAAAAAAAAAACAAAAACC